CTTAGCTAATAAGCACTTGTATAACTTGCATATATTTGCTCAGAAAGGGCCAAAAATTATAAATGCCCTGTGAAGCTACTGCCGATTGATTCATTTTACAGGTAGTTATTATATGAAAGTTTATGTCACTGAATTGGGGATGGAATCACATTGTTCTTTTAATGGTATTTTTGGGGCCAGAAATATTTTATTTGAAATTGATACTTACTGAGACACAGCTTTCCACTTGATAGGGGTTTCACTGTATCTACAATTTATGTGTTAATATAGAAAATGCATCTTTAAATATCTGACTGCAGGAAGAAAATAAATCCAAATCCAATGATTTTAATGTTGAAAGTGAAGGTCATCTGCAATGTGATGTGGCCAATGATACATTCTGTTTCAATGTTACAGTAATCACAATCTTAAATATTACAGTAATCGCAAGAAATAAGATTTTTAAAACTGCACTAAATGTGAAAAACTCTTTCACCTTTCACTTTGATAAGACTTTTAAAGATAGATGTTTGGAAAAATATTTATTTTTGATCCACTGTCATGCATTTTTGAATGTTAGTTGACCTCTTGCAAGTTTTTAGTCAGAGATCTCACAGTCATTAAATCAGCCATCAACTCTCATTAATTGTGTTACAAGGCACACTTTAAAAATGTACAAGAAAATTTGTATGAATTATTAACAGAAAATTTCTAATAACTGTTTTATTACATGTGCTACACACTTGTATTTCACTAGAAACTCTTGAATTTGATGTTCAAACTCTTTAAATACTGTGTCAGAGTGCTGTAATATTGTAAATGTCATAATATTCAAATAAAATAAAAAAAATGTTTTGGATAGAAACAAAAAACCAAATAAAAAATTCACATTATTCTAAAAATTAACAATGAGAGATTCAATTCTTTACAATTTTGATCATGTGGAATATGTCTGCTTTTATTCTGTGACAAACATTTTAAATATTGTAAATGAAATTTGAAACATTTTAAATTATAATTAATTTCATTTACTCTTTCTCTAATGTGTTGAAAAATAGAGGCAAAAGTTGTTTTCTTATGTGTATAAATCATAAAAAATTGGTTTATTATTAATTTTCAGTACATCTCTGATAAGAATTGCACATACATCTCTGAAAAGAAAGAATATTTTTGAATGATTGTAAACACAATGCAAAACAATTAATTTCTTGGGAGAAAACAAATTTTTTATAGAAGATTATTTATTTACATAAAAATTAATATCTGTAGTAGAATCATTGAGAACATTTTTAAAATGCATAATATCTACAGCTTGATAACATAGAAGTGAACCCTTAAAAACCTTTTTGCTTATTAAAATTTAGGGAGGCAAGAAACTTGATATTTTCTCTGAATGTAACAGTAAAACCTTACCTCATATTTGCTAAGGACTTTTAATGTTAGTTACACGTAACACTGTACTGCACATTTCGAGTGGTGTGCCTGTGACTGCTATCTGTGTGTCCCCCACTGGCTTGTTTAGAAGCACTCAAATGAATAACGGTGTTTAAGTGGGTCTTCTTTCTCTAAAGAATAAAATGCACAAAAAAAGGAACTATGCAAAAATAATTAAATATACAATTGAACAAAAATAAGCAACAGTGATTGGCAATTTGCATACTTACAAAAATATTAGAAGAATGTAGACTAGGAAAGAAAGGAACTTACGGTTAATACATGAACTTTTAATACAGGCTCTTTATCTTAATACATGGTGAACTTTGTATTGAGCTTTTCATGGCTAAGTGATATTTGTGTTGATTGTCTGATGAACAATACATGGAAGGCAACATATCAATGCAATTTAGATACACTTTTGTTGAGAATTCCAATTGCTATGAATCCAGAAAGAAAGTTAAGGTCAATTACAGAAAATCTACCTCAAATTGAGAACAGTACTATTTTATTTTCTTCAGAAAACTCTCGTAATGGGGTTCTACTGTACTCTGAATCAAATTTTTAATATTCATTGATTGTTAGTTTATAATACGTGGCTTTATTTTATAAAAAGTATCAACATTTTATAGAATAAATATATTATTTTATTAACAACCATCAGTTGTACTGGGACTGTTCATAACTTTGTGTTACATACAATTATACATTAAAAATATCACATTGTTTTTACTTGAAGAAACTTAAAAACAGAGATGAAAATGTTGTGATGTATTTAAGTATGTTTAGTGTGTTACCTTAGATTATGAACAGTCTGTGTAAAATGAATGATCTTTAATAAAGTAATATAATTTAATTTTTGTAAAACTTGAGAAAATTTATTAAATAAAGAATTTATTTGAAACGTCACTACTTTTATTGATATTCGTTAATACTTATTTTTATGGATTATCTAATAATCGAAGAAATGGTGCTAATTGTCATAATATATAAAATTACAAAAATATATCTTGATCATACTTGAAAAACAATGCTCGGGTCATTTAGAACAAAGTGAAACTGCATTTACTCTACAATAATCATACATCATTTCCTTCAGGGAAAAATTGAGAATTATATTTTAGAAATTAAATTTTGTGAAAGATTTGAAAGTAAAAATAGGTTTTATACTAACTGTTAAAAATTATTTACAATTCTAGAGAACAATTTATTATAGGAACATCATAACAATGAAATTATCATTTTTTTTCTTAAACAATTTGGATTGTTCTATAATGTCTTTTTGAAGTTATAAATTAGATTTTAAGAAGAAAATGTTCATTCTAGATTAATATCAATCAATGAGATAAATTTTATGATATTCTACAGAACTGTATCAAATATTTCAAATACCTTAGAAATGTAGTAGAGAAAAAAAGCAAAAAATGTATTTGACATTTCATAATTGTGATTTTGGACTAAAAAAAAATAATAGTACTCGCTTCTTTTGATTTGTTTGCTGTGCTGTCATTAGATTATGATTTCTAAGAATCTCAGAACTAGATGGATTTTGGTGAGGATGATGCAGGGGAAAATCCCATACTTAGAGGTCATTCTCCACCAGCACCACCCTAGTAGCTTTTGCTATGCCCGTACCAACTGCCATCACATCACCTTTCAGACACCTTGCTCTGATATGCATCAGTAATAAGTTTCTTGTCATCACTTCTAGGATTTATCTTGATGACTCAAGTTGTTTTTCTTACATATATAATATAGTTAATTCTCCTCCTCCTCCTGGTTTAATTGCTGTAGATAACAAACTTTCCTAGGAAAAATGAAGTATTAGGCATTATGAAACAGTTATTTTACTAATATTGTATGCATGGAAAGGTGTGTATAACTCTCACATAACACAATCTCTGTGAATCTTGAACGTCTGTAAAAGTGAATTTAATTTTAATACTTTAGAACTAACTTGATCAGAACTTGGCACAATATTTATTTATAATATAATTTAAATACATTAAATTTGATGTTATCTGATTATATTTTATCTGGTAAAAAGTTTTCTTGGCCAATATGCTCTTTACTGCTACAATCAACTATCATCACTGAAAATGCCCATGAAGCAGTGAAGAAAACTTTTTATATAAAATATAAGATCAGACAATACCAAATTGTGCCCTTCGTAACTAACTTGTGATTGCAGTATTTATTAGTTTCCAATACTAGTATCAGAGAAGAAGCTACTAAGAATATTAAAAATTGGGCTACATGCTTGGTATCAGTTAACATTTTTTATATCTAATAACTTAACCATCACATGACTCTGAGAGAGGTCGTTTTCAAGTGACAAATGACTCTTAAAACCTCATTACCATCAAATAAGATATTTTATATCAAATTTTTTCAAAGACTTTTCTTGTATTTAAGAAAAACAAAAATTTATTCATTAAAATTTACGAGAAATTTCAGCTATTGTTAATAATAATTGGTAAGTGCAGAATTAAAATTAATTAATTAATATTTACACTTAAGTAATAATATTTTTTCAGCAATGAAAAGCATTTAAAACGTGAGGAAATTTATTATCGTCATGTTTCTTTTTTCTCAAATACTGTATATGAAAAATATTATAAGTCCAGAACAGAAATGAACAAAGATCGTGACACATATTACATTATTCTGTGGCATTAAAATACAGAATTCTTTCAGCATTCTAATGCAATTATGGGTAGTTGATTAAAATACAGTGTGGGAAGAGAAAGTACATATATCAAATTTTAAAATATCTTTGTAAGAAACAAGGCTGACTATTCACAACGTAAAAAATTATTCACATACATTCCTAATGATCATATGAAGTAGTAAAGCTATTAGTTTTGACAGTGAATGCAGTGATGCAAATAAAACCATCCCCTGCTCTTGCATGCATTGATGTTGGTATTTTTCTCACCCACACTGTATACAAACCCTGCAATAACATGTAGTGTAGAAGTGCAACAGTTGGCAGCATGATGTATTTTACTCTCACTTTTGTAACCATAGTGATCCTTAAATATCTGAAAGCATTATCATTATCCTTTCAGCATTTGTTCAACTACCACTTGAATGCTTCGTTATCATTCACAGAAGTTACATCTGAGATAAGTCCTACAAGTTCAAAAAAAGTGAATCAAATGTGATTTTAGAACTGAATGAAAGGAAAGTAATATTTATTTGCAAATCAGGTGAAAGTTTGATGCTCAGTGCAAAATACAAATGCTTTCTTCCCATGCAAACACAAAAGACACTTAAAAACAATGAACATATGAAATAAAGCAGAAAATTCTAAAAAAAATTTAAAAAAAGTCTTCAATACCTGCTGAAAATCAGTATTTGTATTTCTTCCTTGCACTTGCCTGCTTTCAGATGTTTAGGAATCACATTGGTTGCCAAGCTCCAACCATACCTTACACTAACTAGTAGCTTTACTTGGTGCTAATCTCCCCTCATAAATTCCTTGAACCTCTCCAATCTCTTGCTCTTTTCTATTTTGATCTTTTTTCTTTTTCTATCTAACGTGCACTTGTTGTGTGTTTTTTCTTCTCTCATGTTTTGCACAGTTTCCCCGGCTTCTGTCGTCTCCGCATGCACGCCAAGGGCGGGTCCCCGGTCGCCTTCATCGAGTATCAGGACGTGCGCTTCGCAGCACAGGCCATGGCCACCCTCCAGGGCTCCTTCCTGCTCTCCTCTGACCGCGGCGCTATTCGTATCGAGTACGCCAAAAGCAAAATGGCTGAGGTTGGTTTTCAGAGTGAATGACCACTGTGTAATCCTCTTTGCTTCATAGCATGAAAATTGTAAGGAGTTTTTAGTGTAAAAAAACAAACGATTGCATTTGTAAAGCAATGTGTCCAGTTAGGATTTTTTGTATGTTTTCCCATGAACAGAGTTTAAGTACATGTATTCCGGTATTATTATGCATAGTATCTTCCTGGGCTTCTGAATATCCCAATCGTCACCTTTGCTTGTGTTCCAATTGATTTCCTTTTTGATTATGCTTGTAATGACTAGAAACGTAGTCTGAGAGATTGTTCCATTGAAACGTATTCACAGATCCAAAAGAAAAGATAATTTTCATCCTCAGCCACTTATCCAACAATGAAAGAAAAAATACAAAATTCGCCATTAATAGACACAATTGATTTCATTGTGACAACTTCTACTCTACTGTAAATATTTAAAAGATTAGCATTACGTCTCTTGTTTAATTCATCTGATAATTATTCAATGCTGCCAAAAGTTACTTTTCAATTATTGCTGCTTCCTTCAGTATCCTGAAATGATAACGAGGTAATTACAATCACTTTATTTGAGTATGTCTGAATGTGTATATGTATACTTGCATACTATACATGAACATACATCTATAGTATATTCAAATATAAATATGTACATATATATTTATATATACCCAAACATACTAATATAAAACGGGAGTGAGATGTAAATCTCCCAGTGCTCTGAACGTAACCAGACCACATGATAAATTAACTTAAGTGGCCAGTGCTTCAATAATAGTCAAGTTATATCTGAAATGAATGCCCTTTGTGTTATTATTATCTTAGAAGTGAATATCAAGAAAATGTTTTTCCAAAATTTAAACTTTACAGAAGAGGACAGGAAAAGGTTTATATACACTTTAATTTGTTTTGGAAAAAGCAAGGTTTTGACTTTCTTTCTCACTACCTACATTTTATCTTTTTTTGCCAAGAGGACCATGTCATTTGCCATCTTTTAATGTTTGAAGTTCATCTCAAACTATTGGAAATCTTTAAATAATTATTTGTTATTTATTATTCTCTTTTTATCTTCTTGATTCCAAATTTTTATAATTATTATCATTATTGGCTTTATATTATTATTGTTATTATTATTATTATTATTATTATTATTATTATTATTATTATTATTATTGTTATTATTATTATTGTTATTATTACTATTGCTACTACTAACATTATTAATTTATAATGCAAATTCAATGGTAGTCAAAGGCTACAATTAAAACATTGTGTGTAAATAAATATCCGGGGCCACTTTTAGGTCAGATGTAGTTCAGAGTAATTAAAAATTAATACTTGAAATGAATCAACATGTGGTGATTCTTTCTGACAGATTGCTTAATATTTTTTAAAAGGGAAAATACTTTCTGTGTTTCAGCAAACATAATTAATTTTTATTCGGATTGCAGTTCATTAAAGTCTTTATTAAGTTCATTAAAGTTCATTAAAGTTTCTTTCCACAATTTCTATATGATCTTTAATATTTACTTTCCTTCTTTATTGATTAAAAAGAAGTATTCTATAATGGGATTTATTGTAAACCAACAATTTTATTTAAATGAAATTTCAAAACATAATACTACGTTATCTTCTTTATGACAATGTTATTAATAGGTATCTAGCGGACTTTTTATTTTTTTGTCAATTTGTGTTTACTTTTGAGTTAAAATGAGTTACTGTTGTCTTTTTTAGGGACCTAAGGGAGAAGAAAACGGACAATCTTAATTATACTTACGTGCCGCTTAGCACCTGATGTAGGCAGCAGCTTCTAGTATGGGTCGCTATTCCAGCATAGCCACCGAATCCAAAAACCAAGAGTGGATCCGGGATTTGGCACAGGGGAATAACCAGTGCGGTAGGTCAATCCATTAGTACTTCATGTTTTGTTATTGTTTCTTATACTGTAGACTGACTAGTCAAACAGTAATAAGAAAAATGAGTCTTATTCATGATAAATTATTGTTTGTAACTAAATCTAAAGAAGATTGTCAAGTTAAAAGAAACTAGATTGTACATTGTTAGGCCTCAAATTGTACACATAAGCCTATTGCAACAGTGGTCTTCAACTGTATCTTATAACAGGCATGTAACTCTTTGTATTTTCAATAATTGGATAAAATGTTTTGAAATGTTGATGTTTTGGTCAATGTGATGTACAGTGTTTAACCATAAATGTCAGCGATCTTAATTTACTTTTGAACACGTACTTGAAGTTGTGATGATTTATCATTGTAAAAGTAAACTTATAAGGAAATAGATGTTAACATGCCATTTCTACGTATATTGACCCCCTCTAAAGTAATTGTTATTTTAAAACAATTTAGTATCTGATATGCTTATTGAATTCTTGTTCTAGAAAAGCAATTGAAATGAAGATAGGATTCTTGTAGCCCTCCAAAAGAGTGTTTGTATGCATTACTAAAATATTTTTAAAAAATTATATATGCAGTATTTAGAAAGCTATTCTTGCTATGGTTCAAACTAATTGCTTCTTGAAGCAGTGAAATGAATGATTAAAAAGAGAACTTTTCAGAAAAATATACAATAAACTACATATTAAAAATGTTACTTCATTCAGTATGTTTCTGCAAATATTTCCTTAAAATAACACAAGGGTGTTCACATTGTCGCTCATAATGTTCTTAATGTCTCGCCAGACCTTTTGAAGATCACTGTGGCTTTGCTGCTACATTCGGGAGGCCATTAAAGAATGGTATTTATGAGGCTTGAAACCAAAGGTGCCCTAAATGTTATGTTTTAGACTACTTATTAAAATGTAGTTGGTAAGTGTATTCTATTAATTTTACAAAATGGTGATGCTGGTGATCTTAAAGCCTGTTTTAGAGTAATTTTGACTCTTGGATAAAAAATAACACAATATTGTACAGTAGTGGATTGTATGTCTGGCTGTCTATGTGCAGATAGAATCTTCTTGCTCTAGGCTACAATCAAATTTAGATTGTAATTAAACTCTTATTAGTCGGAATAAAATGACAAAGCTCGGTGTTGATTCGACTAGATTTATTCCTTAGCGAGACAGATGTTTTGTTTTTTGTTTTTTATCTTGTAATGTATTTCTTATTCATAGCAATAAACCAAAAATTCATATTCTATACTTCTATATAAATAACATTGATAGAAGGAAAAGAGATGTTGTGTTGTGTCATGTGCTCTGATTACGGGTGACTACAAGGAGCAGTTGCCACCCCCCCTCCCACCCCACAAGCTTGTTATGTGTGTTGTGTGTTAGTGTGGAGGGGTCATACAGGGAGGGGATGCTCGGCAGTGCCTTCCGACCTCCGCCTTTCAGGAGACCACCCTGCGCATGGGGACAGACCACTCTTTGGGGTAGTGTGAACATGGCTACTGCCTTTTTGCAATACTGAATGCAATTCATAATGAGCAAAGTTTTTTAATGCATTATGTAATTGCTCATTTTGCTGAAGTTTCGTAAATTTCTATACTCATTAAAGTAGTTGGATGAATCATAGACTTAAAAGACTCACTACATTACATAATTCCTATTGGTGTTTATAGTAAATGTTGGTTCGATTGAGTCTGGCTTGCAGCCCACTTTGTTTTAAGATGCTGGTTAACCAAAGTGCATATTCAAATTTTTTAATGGTGCTTAACTTGAGAATTTGAGTCCAGTGGACTGTTTAGTTTGTTTTTTTGATGAGAAACTCGCGAGGGTAGAGAAAGTTGACCCCATACCCAGGTGTGGTCCCAAGGAGGGAGACTACCGACGCATATCATTTGAATCATATCAAATAAACCAGTGCTTTCTTTTCTTCTCCTCCTATCAGCACAAGTACTTCTAGAAGTACATTTTAAAAAGTAAAAATTAACAACTAATGTAGTTTTAAAGAAAGGAACTAAAATATCTTGTGAACATTAGTTTAGGCAGTTTGCCGAATTTTCTGGGGTAAAATAACGATGCATACTTTATATATACTATATATGGTAGAATAATTATTTGTATATATCTAAAATAGTTACTTTAATGAATGTAATCACGTTGTAATTCCCATAATAAGCGACCACCTGTTTAGAATCTAGTTAGTTTGTGTATGCTATTTAGGGTATTTCCAACCAGTAATGTTACGGTATGAAGAAATGCTGGGCATTTTTATTGTTTTTATCATAAACATTGGTAAAATATTTCATATTAGGTGGTCAGGCTACACAAAAATTATAAAAAAAGTTTAAACATAAGTATTGTGGATTGAGATGGTGTTAGAGTACATTTAACTGTATACAAATGTATATATTGTGTAAGAACCAAAGTACAGACTGACTGCTTCAGGTGCAATCCCAGGACAATCCCAAAGCGATGTGTTTATTGTCATTTTCCTGGCTTGAGCACTGACAGTAGCAGACGTGATGGCAGCATTTCAGATGGGAATACAATTTCTGTTTGTTAAGTATGTAGTAGAAATCTTCAAAGTAACAGAATTATAGAAATTTAAATTGTAGTTGCTTTATGTGTAAGGTTGATGTGATATAATAAAATATACCAAAATTGTTGGTATGGCTGAGGCAAAAGAGGATATGTTTTTAATTCTTTAGAAGAAACAAAATAGGAAACGTACATCAGTTGGAATATTCTTTTTGACAATGGCAAAATGTGACAACACAAAATGGTTTGTCAAACCAAATTGGAAAATTAGTAACACAACTGATGTATGGGATTGTTAAAACTTATCCTCTTATGTTTAGCTCTTTTTGTATGCAGATATAAATGGTCTGTCAGCATTGTGTAGATGCATATCAAATATTCGCTAACTTTGCTTTATTTTAAAAAAAATAAAGCAGCAAAAATATTATTAAAATATTGAAGGGAGATAAAAGTGACTCCTTTTTAGACATTAGGAAGTATAACTAATGAGCAGGAAAGTGTATTGCTTTCACATCAGAAGTAAGCTTGTAATTTATCAATGAGCAAATCTGAACACTGCAGTTTTAATCATTTTGGAAGTTTTGTTTCAAAGTCTGCAATGGATTTATTGTATTATATTAAAAAATTGAGACTTTTAGAAAGATTATGTACTTTTTGCTTGATGAGATATGAACTACGCACAAATTATGAATATGTTTCAATTATTTTGTCTCGCTGTTATGTTGTACAGGAGAACACTACACTATACTGTGAACTTACATTAAAAATGGGGTTCAGACTAACGATTGGAAAATAATATTATTTGCTGTGTGCATTACCAAGGGCTCAAGGGCTTTTATGCAATTTCCATCTTAGAGAAATGAATTTTGAAATGTTCAGTCTATAAAACAAATTATAGTTGTAATAATCTATCTGAAAGAGAATACATACTGTATAGACTTCTTACATCAATTGGATAGATAAAAAGAGAGGTTTATGAAACCAAACTCCTACTTAGCAAGGCAGTTTTCCCTCCATAAAAATGCAGAAGTATTAGCGTTGTCTCTACACAATGTGGCAGATTCATTCTGACAAATTTCCGTCCATTATAATATATAAATATATATTGTATGTCTTTAGAGAGACAAAACCGCAGCTCAATGCTACATGGGAGGGGGGGATGTGGGAATGGGGCAAATCTGCCAGCACCTTGCAAAGTGCAGAAGTAAAAACATATCAGCTTGAAAAAAAATTACCTGTTATGCAATCCGAACCTTTTGACTGTAATTCATTGTACATCTGATTGTTTGAATACTGCAGTAGTACAGTAATACTATTGTATTTTAATAATAATAAATGCTCGTATCAATTATATGTAAGATGAAAATTAGGAAAAAAAAAAAAATAACAGTTGTAATGGGGCTCAAAGGTCTAAGTCAAATAGATTAACTCAATCCAAAGGAATTATCTATTCACGATTTTAAAACTTTTATGGATTCTTGATGAGTGTCCTATTTAATTTTTTATTGTTTGTATCTTGAAGTCTTTGAATGTTATGTTGTAAAAATATTATGTTTGTAAATGTAAAACAGAAATACAATGTTGAATTTTTGCCATTATCCATTCCAGAAAGTAATGAAATTTCAATAATGTCCGTACTCTCTTGATTGTAATTGATCAAGAGAAATAAACAAAAAACAGAAAAGAAAGATTGTGATACAATCGATACCAAATGCAATGCTTATGGTAATTCAATGATATTTTATCTATTTTATTTTGCATAAAACAAATCATTTGAGAAGAAATTATTAAACTTTAATTATAACATTGTCACACCTAGTTAGCCAATGTTTATATGAATGATATACTGTAAAGATAATGGTCCTTGCCTATTCAACATTGCATTTCATAATGTAATCAAACTTTCAATGCAAAAGACCTGTTCATGATAATGTAGTACGCAATTATTGTATTGTGCTCTATCTGAATTAACAGTTAGATTGGTATTAAAAAATGTTCAGGGCTAATATTCAAAAGTGCCTTGGCTTTTCAAACAACAGCCAAGGTCTCATTAAGCATTGCCTTATTCTGCTCGAGCTTTGTGACAAGGCGACAAAACTATTTTCTGTGTGTGCATGTGTATGGAGGAGTTGAGTCTTTTGAATAAAATGTGGATGATATCTAGTTTGCTTAAGATAACTTATTCCTTGTTGTGCTGTGAAAGTGCTTTCAACTAAAAACTGACCAATTATTTGTGGCAAAAATACAAGATTTTTGTTACAAATATAGCAATATTAAAATGTTAAGAAATTATGTGAATATTATCACATAATTTTTATTTTATAACAGTGCATTCCATTGCATTCATTGTCTTTTACATTCCCTCTGTACCTTAACTATAATTTTCATATACATTGTAGTAGTTTTTATAAACTGATGTGATTTTAAGCTGGAGTATAAAATGTTTCCTTAAAGGAATAACAAATACATCTGTGAAGAGCAATAATTAAAACTTACCACAAAAGAAATATTTTCTACTGCACTATTAATAAACCTTCACAAAGTATTGATTAGTTATTAGAATTATAAATTCAAAAAACTATTCTTTGCTTATGCAGGAGTGTTCAAA